GGTGACAGTCGCCCACGCGCGTCCCTGCTGCTCTGAGGGGTTTCTGGCAGCTCAGCCGATGAGCGCCCGAGCACAACCACCACGCTCACATCTCGTCACACAGGGCCTTGGCACACAGAGCAGAGTGGGCTCTGCTGTCGTTGTGGAGCAAAACATGAATGTGATGATGTGCCCCTTTCTGAATCTTTCTTGAAGCTTTTTCACAGGGCATAGGGCTCCTTCCCCTTTTACCTTGCCCCATGTTCCTGTTCCTCCGAGGGCAGAGCACAGCAACCCTGACCAACATCGCTCCCACCCTCCCGCACCCTCCTCTTCCTCCCTCGCCCACCACAGGGACACACTCACACCACGGGGGCTTGTCCGAGCGCTGGCGCAGCGGCAGAGAGGACGACGACAGGATCCGCTGGGTCATGAAGGGGTCTCCCGGCATCTGGCTGCCGATCATCGAGTCAAACAGAGCTGCGAGAAGAGAAACACCCAGATCAGCACCATTCGCACACACAGGAATGGCTCATGGCGCCGTGGGCGCTCGGGAACCGCGCTGTCCAGAGCCGATTCTGTCCCTCAGCTCCGGTTTCCCAAGCCGAGTTCGTAGCCACATCCCCGCCCTCATCAGCCGCAGCGGGACCTGGGCAATGATTCATCTCTGGAGTGGCCGGGGATGGCTCCGTGCTGCATCCCACAGCTCACCCCGGGGTCCAGAGCCTGCGCTCATGGCCAGGCTGATCCGTCCCAGTAAAGGTAAAGCCCCAGGGGTCTCCCCGCCCCGGCCCCAGCTCCTGTCCGGTACCTGCGGTGGACTGGGCGTGCGAGTCGCAGCTGCGGCACACGGCCGTCAGGAACTCGTTCATCTGCCGCAGGGACAGGGAGTTGTGCAGCGTCTCCAGGGGGTAAATGGTGGGAACCATGGAGCAGCCTTCGAACCCTGGAAAGAAACCCAGTCACAGCGTGAACGGAGCGAGCGGCACCCTCGGCCCCTGCAGGAGCGCTCGTGGCTGCGGGAGCTGGGCAG